AAACGACTCAAAATTTCTTTATTACGTACACTGCAAAGAAAAAGAACCCGAGATAGACTTCGAGAGAGGAAAGCGGATGACTTTGAAAAACAATACCAACAAAATGTTACTTACACCTGAAAGTCCACAAGATATTCGTAACAGAATTCTTCTAATTACTCGTATTATGTACGATTTATAAACGGTTTTATTTAAGAAAAATATAATAATATAAAAATCAAAATGATTATGCTTTTTGCATTATTAACTGGATATAAAATTAACAAAATTATATATAATAAGTATACAGGTATATTTACTATTTAACTCAAAATTTCAATAAAAACTAAAAACTGAACAAAAATTAATAACCTTAATAGTAAAAATACTTTCATATCTCAGTTCCTACGTAAGAGTTTTTGTTGTTTATTATTTATTTATTTATAGATCTTAATTGAATTTCTGCGAATTTCGAGAAAATCACTTGAAATAAAAGAAATAAAAAATTTAATGGTAAATGTGAAATATTGAGAGATTGGCATCTTCGGTTTTCTGTACTACGCAAGTTCCTCTTACTGTAATCTTTCTTTCTTTTATTTTTATATTAAATTTGTTCTGTTTATTTAAATGTTTATAACTCGTATATCGCCGACCTCACGGACCTTCGACTACGAACCCTCTGTTACGCCATTCATTGACACGGTGAGCGGTCATCACCCGACCGTCGTCAGAGCATGGGTTAAGCCTGGCGACTTAACCCCCAATTCCTCACAGTTTCGTTTTAAAAGAAATTAATAAATACTTCTTTGCCTGAGTAATTCTACGTGACTGTAGAGCGCGACTGCAAAATTACATAAGGCGTCCGGTACAGTACAAAACGTGATTAACATTTCATGATAATATAGTCTAAAAATAACATGAAAAATATTTCTTTATTCTTATACTAGCAGACCCTGCCACGCCTTGTGGCTCAAAATGTATCTATTATAAATGTATAACACTTCCCCCGTGGGGGAAAATTTTTCGAAAAATTTTTTTTTAGTGTACATTCTCTTGACATACCCTATTAAAACGCAATCAAAAACGCAAAAACCCGCATCTAAAATAGTGTAAATAGAAGCAGAGTTCTTTACGGTAAGCCTTCCCCGTAAGGCTTACCGTAAAGAACTGTCCATCCCCCATGTTTAACGGAATAATATACATCCTATGTCCACCCTGAAGTTCCATTCTAAATATTGGTAAAAAAGTTTTTGAAATCGGATGAGTAGTTTCGGAGATTACCTGCTGCATACAAACTAACATACATACATACATACAAGCATTATCTCTTTATAATATTAGTATAGATAAAAAGTGACATAAACTTTTGTATTATTTTATTTTTTTAATTTAATAAAACGCAACAAAGAATATTATTGTCGAATTTTATTGTTAGTGTTCCATTGTTGAAAACATTCGATTCAGAGGTGGAAAATGAATTCAGGTGAGATTTCGGTGCATTTGCTAGCGGGATGTTTGGTATGTAGCGCAGTCACCTGAGGAGAAAGCACCGAGTATACCTTGACAAACATCGATGTTCAGATATGTTCGTGACACACGCTTGCCTTCTGAATATCTTGCTAGCAATGAGACCTTGGAGACTTTCACTCGCGATTGTTTACTGTTATTGCGTTGTTGCGAGGTATTAAATGTCGCCCAAGTGAAGAGATAAAGCGAGATTTCGGTGCATTTGCTAGCGACATGTTTGTTGTCACAATATTATGGATTACCAATATAACAGGATAGGAAAATTCGTTCATTCTAACAGACTTCCATTACTAAAGACTATTTTTCAGGTCCTGCAGACCACTGTCCTTCCATTACTACGAATTTTTCAGTTTCCAATTTATTTTGTCACAGTCATCGTTTGATTTATTTTGTCATAGTAGAAGTTTTATTTATTTTATATTATTTTTGTATTTATTTCATATCTCAGTTCCTACGTAAGAGTTTTTGTTGTTTATTATTTATTTATTTATAGATCTTAATTGAATTTCTGCGAATTTCGAGAAAATCACTTGAAATAAAAGAAATAAAAAATTTAATGGTAAATGTGAAATATTGAGAGATTGGCATCTTCGGTTTTCTGTACTACGCAAGTTCCTCTTACTGTAATCTTTCTTTCTTTTATTTTTATATTAAATTTGTTCTGTTTATTTAAATGTTTATAACTCGTATATCGCCGACCTCACGGACCTTCGACTACGAACCCTCTGTTACGCCATTCATTGACACGGTGAGCGGTCATCACCCGACCGTCGTCAGAGCATGGGTTAAGCCTGGCGACTTAACCCCCAATTCCTCACAGTTTCGTTTTAAAAGAAATTAATAAATACTTCTTTGCCTGAGTAATTCTACGTGACTGTAGAGCGCGACTGCAAAATTACATAAGGCGTCCGGTACAGTACAAAACGTGATTAACATTTCATGATAATATAGTCTAAAAATAACATGAAAAATATTTCTTTATTCTTATACTAGCAGACCCTGCCACGCCTTGTGGCTCAAAATGTATCTATTATAAATGTATAACACTTCCCCCGTGGGGGAAAATTTTTCGAAAAATTTTTTTTTAGTGTACATTCTCTTGACATACCCTATTAAAACGCAATCAAAAACGCAAAAACCCGCATCTAAAATAGTGTAAATAGAAGCAGAGTTCTTTACGGTAAGCCTTCCCCGTAAGGCTTACCGTAAAGAACTGTCCATCCCCCATGTTTAACGGAATAATATACATCCTATGTCCACCCTGAAGTTCCATTCTAAATATTGGTAAAAAAGTTTTTGAAATCGGATGAGTAGTTTCGGAGATTACCTGCTGCATACAAACTAACATACATACATACATACAAGCATTATCTCTTTATAATATTAGTATAGATAAAAAGTGACATAAACTTTTGTATTATTTTATTTTTTTAATTTAATAAAACGCAACAAAGAATATTATTGTCGAATTTTATTGTTAGTGTTCCATTGTTGAAAACATTCGATTCAGAGGTGGAAAATGAATTCAGGTGAGATTTCGGTGCATTTGCTAGCGGGATGTTTGGTATGTAGCGCAGTCACCTGAGGAGAAAGCACCGAGTATACCTTGACAAACATCGATGTTCAGATATGTTCGTGACACACGCTTGCCTTCTGAATATCTTGCTAGCAATGAGACCTTGGAGACTTTCACTCGCGATTGTTTACTGTTATTGCGTTGTTGCGAGGTATTAAATGTCGCCCAAGTGAAGAGATAAAGCGAGATTTCGGTGCATTTGCTAGCGACATGTTTGTTGTCACAATATTATGGATTACCAATATAACAGGATAGGAAAATTCGTTCATTCTAACAGACTTCCATTACTAAAGACTATTTTTCAGGTCCTGCAGACCACTGTCCTTCCATTACTACGAATTTTTCAGTTTCCAATTTATTTTGTCACAGTCATCGTTTGATTTATTTTGTCATAGTAGAAGTTTTATTTATTTTATATTATTTTTGTATTTACTTTTACAAATAAAGTAATAGAAAACATATCATTTTTTCATCAATTTTTGTTTCAGTTTCTTTATGAGCAATTTCTGAAATTTGTTGTGCAAAGCAATGCCTTGGATCATAAAAGAAAACCAGGGGCGAATCCTGACCAAGATTTTTGGCATGACGAACGTTATAATAGGAATAATAGGCCTATCTCTAGCATTAAACAATATGCAGAAATGTTATTTGGTGTGAATAAAAAAGTATGGAATAAAGTATAATATAAAGCCCATTATATCTACACATGAAATATATGAAATATATTATAATGAAAAAGTATTAAAAATTTATGATAATAATTCAAATTTTGTAGGCCCTTGACACTGGGAGATCAGGGCTTAAGCCTTATTAATCTCTATGCAGATCCGCCCCTGCACACAATACATATATGCTGACTGGGTACTGCAAGCTTTTGATGCAATCTGGCCATGTTAAATGTTTTTTAACATGGACATGCGCGCTCACTTGTTCGCTGAGGCAAACCTCCACACAAGCAAGCGATCGAGTTCACGCAAGCATGGCACTAACTTAAAACAGTATCCGCTAGCTGCCAATGTAAAAGTAAACACAAATGATAAAAGAGTTTACACGTCAGAATAAATTATTATTGGCATATTTCTCATCATATAAAAAGTATATTGACAGTCATAACTTTTTTAATTAAGCATGCGGCGTATACCAAGCAAGCCCAGAGAATTCGCCCCTGAAGAAAACAAAGCTTTATATCAAACACAAAAGATTGAGATTTTCCATCTTTAATCTGACAAATTACAGTAAATTCCCTATAACACAAATTTATTTAACATGATGAATAAATTGCAACTAGTATTCATACAAAATTCTAATTTTCTTGTCCAGTGAAATACGTTTCTTGTCCATTTTCTTCTTTAATTTCTAGGCCTAAGTTTAAACTTTCATAAAATTGTATGACAATGCATATTTTGATAATCAACAAATCTCCGATATTGTACAGTACTCTGTTGTATAGCTACCTGAATTTGGTAGATATAAGCAGACAATTTCAGACATTTGAAAAACAAGAGAAAAACTACAACATGCTTTTCTTAAATATAGTAGTTCTACCAAAAATTTAACCTAGTCTTATAAGCCGTTTTACTCGTTGTACGGGTTAATCTAACAGTAATTTTTTCATGTATTCAATTTTGATGCAGATGGCACTCAATAATTTTCCCAGACTAGTGTCTTTTTATGTTACATTTAACGTCACTAAAAACAAAATATTGAGATTGTTTCAGATAATTTATTTTGATTATCTTGAACAATCATTCTATTTTAGTTTGAAAATTTTAAAAATTTAATGTTCTCAAATAGTAACATTTGAAAGACGTTTTGGATACAGATTTTCTTGAAAACAAATGAAAATACACAAATGTTTTTACTATAACAGATAACTGAAAATAATTCTTTAATAATTTCTGCCTTTTTATATTTATAGACAAGATGGTATGCTCTTAACACAAGTTTGAGCTGGAGAAAACTACATCATAATCTCCAGACTGACCTCATTATTTACTTAGTAACAACGTTGTTCAGAAAATTTTACCACCAGGAATCAAGCACAATCCAAGAAATAATTCGGAATTATTTGGACTACATGAACCTACACCATTGTAAATCATGGAGAAAACTACTGTATACCATAATTCACAGACTGACTCATTATTTACTTAGTAACAATGTTGTTCAGAAAATTTTACCACCAGGAATCAAGCACAATCCAAGAATTAATTCGGAATTATCTGGCCTACATGAACCTACACCATTGTAAATTATTTTGATACTGAAAAATTCTGTAACATTACTATATATAAATTTTAATTAATTTAAAAATAAAATTAACTTCTTTTATTCATTTTGTAATATAGTGTTTTTACATTAAAAAAACAGATACAGTACAATATTATCAAAAATAGAGTTTACTATTGAAAACATACAAACATGTAATGAAACCAATTTTACCATAAGGTAAATAATATAATTTGGTTATTATTATTATTTTATCTTGTTTTTAATTGTATTATTCTTGCAACCTCCAGCATTTATTTAGTACGTCACGTAATGAATTTTACTGTTTATAAAGAAAATTCAATTGTAAATAATTACAAATGAGATGTTAAATTTCAGGTTTGTTGTATACATTACTCCCGGTGGAATTTCGGGACATTGAGTATATATCTGAACTGAGGGGGCCGAGACGAGTTGAACGGTACCATACTTTTGAACCGGAGACGAAAAATAACAAAGTTATTATACTTACGATTTATAGTATAGTGTCCCAATCATATGCAGACAGACTGGTCGCTAAAATACGAATTCAAAAAATTGGAGATTGGCATATTAGGGTCTGAAGTTCCGTTCAAGAATATGTTGCCTTTTGAAAGTCCAGTAATGTTGTTTCCATTATTTTCAGCTCATTATTATGAAACTAGCTCTTACCCGAGACTTCGCCCGCATAGATTTTGCAAGCAAACACCATTTATATTTAGTATTTCAACAACCATAGTAATTGTTATATAATACCTACCGCTGAAAATGATGAGAATTGCCGAGAATCAAACGAACTGTTTTCAATTTGATCAATTTTCTAGAACGTTTACAATCGTTCTATAATCAAACTAATATGCAATAACAAATTCGAATTTAAAACGGTTCGAACATTTGGTTAAAAAATCGAAATATACAAAAATATTTATAACAATGTCTGAAATGTTATCAATTTAATACACTTAAGAACTCAATGAAGACTAAACGTAGTTGAAAAAAAAAATCGCATGTAAAATAGTACAGTAGAAGCCGTTCTTCAGGTTAAGCCTTAATTCTTTCTCTCTCCCCAGGCAGGGGAATTTCGAAAAATCCTTCTTAGTGTGAGTTTTCATGATGTACCCTAACTGTGTACCAAATTTCACTTCTTTAGGTTCAGCGGTTTGCTCTGGGCGATGATGAATCAATCAGTCAATCACTCAGTCAGGACAAGTAATTTTATATATTTAGATAGCAACACAATAATTATTTAATATATTGTTTGCAATTTTGGCTACATTTAATATTGTCCTACATTAAACTTGAGTGGCATTTAATATTGTGAACATAAAGTTAGTCTCCATATTTACAATATTAAATGTAGCTCAAGTTTGATGAGAACTCTGACCTTAGAGGAGGCGAAATTGAAGAATTTGTAAACAGACAAAACCTGTTCATCCTTAACGAATCAGATATGCCAAGCACGTTTGAAAGCTCAAATGGAAGTTCAAACATAGACTTAACAATAATAAATAATAGAGCGATAAATGAGGTTGATAAATGGACAGTATGTGATGAAACGAGTCTATCTGAAAATAGGTACATTACATTTGAAATTTATCAGAAGATTCACAATAATAGTATTAAAAAGTATAACTTAAAAAGAACTAACTGGGAAAGAATAATGGAAGACTTAAAATCTGCAAAAATAGATTTGAGAAATTTAGAAAATCGCCACCAGGCAGAAGCAGTACTTACGAAGTTAATTCAGATACAGTAGAGCCTCGAAAACTCGGCACTCGATAACCCGGCACTCCTGATAACTCGGCCATACCTTGGCAGACCAAAAATACCCTTAGATAATTAATTTTCATCATAGACAGCTTTATGCCTCATAAAGTATTTTTCTGAGGTCTGTCTTATCAGGTAAATTACTGTACACAGTGTATTCATTAATTTTCATTTTCATGTAGTAAAGGCTCTATGCCTTCGTACAGGACGTACTTTTCCTTTGTTTAAGGGTATTTGGGCAGTTTATTCTGTTGTATTTTCAAGCAAACAATACATACAAGTACAGTACAATATTTTCTGAGGAAACACGCATACTTATCCTTTTTTAACCCCATTCCCGATAACCCGGCATTTTCACAAACTCGGCCACCCTTCGGTCCACATTAGGCCGAGTTTTCGAGGCTCTACTGTAATAACAAAAGTAATTGAAAGGAATATCCCACTGTACGACGATAGGAAAAAATTAGTGAAATGATGGACTCCTGAATTAAAAGCATTAAAAAGAAAAATAAGAGCAAAAAGAAAGAGATACTAAAAATGTAGCGATCAGAACTTGAGAACTATTTTTAGAGAACAATGTCTAGAGGAACAGAAAAATTATAAGAGAAGGATAAAAGAAAGTAAAGAGTTGGATACAATTCTGCGAAAAAAGTGCTGAAGACCCCTGGGGTTTGATCTATAAAATCACAGCTGGGAAATTAAGAAGATTTCAGTTAACAGAAATTAAACAAGAGAATGGATCTGTTACTGCTACAGCAGAGAGCTTAAAATTATTACTTACGGAATTCGTTAAAATAGATGATAAAAATAAAGACAGCAGAGAGCAAAAAAAGTTTACAGTACAAAACAAGTGGTGAAAATGTTCCGTTATTCTCAAAGGAAGAGATATCTTGGGTAATATCGAACTTTAAACAAGGGAAAGCCCCAGGACATGATCTAATTACAATAGAAATTGTAAAACAAATAAATAACAGAGAGCCAGATTTTCTATACGAATTATATAACACTTGTTTAAAATTTGCGGTTTTCCCAGCTGAATGGAAAATTGCGAAAATCTTACCAATCTATAAGGGTAAAAACAAAGATCGAAAAGAAGTAAGAAGTTATAGACCAATCTCTCTCCTTCCTGTTCTGGGAAAAGTTTTGGATAAATTAATAGTATATCGTCTTACAACTTGGCTAAATTCAAACAAATGGTTTAACGAAAATCAATACGGGTTTCAAGAAGGACGTTCAGCGGAAGATGCTATATCAAAAGTAATTAAAGATATCGAAGAAGGGAGGAAAAATAACAACTGGACAATTGCTCTCAGTCTTGATATAGAAGGTGCTTTTGATAACGCATGGTGGTCACTAATCCATGCTAAATTAGAGGAAGCAAATTGCCCAAACAATTTGTATCGTCTTATATGTGATTATCTAACAAACAGAAAGGCATACATAGAATACGCAGACATAAAAATGGAAAGGGACATGACTATGGGGTGTCCACAGGGATCCTGTTCTGGACCCATTTTTTGGTCAATTATATTAAATGATCTCTTGAAAATCAACACATTATCAGAATCAAAAATAACAGCTTTTGCTGACGATATAATGGTCATCTGTTCGGCAAAAAGCAGAAAACAAATAGAAATAAAATGCAAAAATATACTGGATAAAATAGAGAAATGGGGAAATGCAAACAAACTTAAATTTAATCCAGAGAAGACAAACGCCATAGCCTTTACAACATGCAAAGTGGCAAAAAGGCAACCCACAATTAAAATGCAAAATAAATCGATTAAATGTGTAAACCAAGTCAACTATTTAGGAGTAACAATAGACAACAAACTTTTCTGGAATGAACACCTAGAAACAATTAAGAAAAAAGTGGGTAACTTATTTCAAGAAATAGCGAAAGTAGCACGTAAAGAATGGAGTATAGGTGGAAGGGCTTTAACACATATTTATAAAGGTGCTGTAATCCCAATTGTTACATATGCTGCCCAAATTTGGGGGAAGAGGATGGAGTTGACACACATGAAACAGAAAATAAATAGCCTACAAAGAAAAATGCTATTAAGAATTACTGGAGCATACTGTACTACATCCCACGATGCACTCTGTGTACTGGCGGGCCTAATGCCTCTGGATTTGGAAATTCGACAGCATAGTGACGCAAGAAATATATTAAAAGAAAACAAAACTCATAATGATTTATTGAAAAAAAGAGGACGAGCTAGAAGCAGATATGAAACAACACCAAAAATTATTAAGATATGAATGGGAGAAAATACATATAAAGAAATACAACTATCAGGATAAATACAGAATCTATACGGACGGATCGAGATCCTCAGAAGGAGTGGGAGCGTCGTATGTTTATTACTATAGAAATAATCATAAAAAGTATCATAAAAAAATCAAGTTAGATAAAAAATGCACAAATTACCAAGCAGAATTGGTAGCAATAGATCATGCAATTAACTGGATAAGTCAAAGAAAGAAAAATATAAAAATTGTTATTTGCACAGACAGCAGGCTGTATTAAAAGCTCTTAGTGATGGTAACAATAAAAGTGAACTAATAGATAATATAAGACGAAATTATGTGAAAAGTGATAATATGCTTGTGTTCAGCTGGGTCAAAGCCCATTTTGGAGACCAAGGAAATGAAAGAGCGGACAGTCTGGCTAAAGAGGCTAGTTATCTAAAAACAAAGGAATCATACAGAAAAATATCTACAAAATACATAAAAACTGAAATCAAAAATAGATACATATTACAGTGGCAACAACGGTGCGAAATAACTACAAAAGGAAGGGAACTCTTTGAATACATACCAGATATTAACCAGACGTTAAATAACAAACATCTACAAAGTGGACACAAATTCACAAGATTCGTGACAGGTCATGGAGATTTTGCGAAATATCATTATAGATTTAATCATCGAGATGATGAAAACTGCGAGATTTGTGGGGTAAGTGAAACACCCACAAACATCCTATTTGACCGTATGCAATATGAAAAAGTAAGAAACGAGTTAAAATTAGTTTGTAATAAAGAAGGTTACAATTGGCCTATTAGGAAAAGTAGCCTTATAAATAATGTTAACATATATTATTATTTCAATGAATTTATAAAAACTTGTTATAAAAACAGAACATAAAAATTTCTCTCATAGTTTATTGTCAAATTAATAACATCAAATACTCTACTCAACAAAAATATAATTAATGTAAAAAATAGAATTGTCGGGTATTAATGTATTGCGGCTACGACCGCGACTATGTAATCTTAACTACCTGCAAAGCATATGCGAAGCAGGATTAATTAAAAGAGGAGTACCTCAAGCCAGTAGCATTTAATGCTACAGGTCAGAGGGAGTGCTCCACCAAATGTAATGTAATGTAAAAAATGTAATGTAGCTCAAGTTGCAAACAAACACTTGTTCATATAAAACTAGAAGAACTTGTTCTATTTTTTCAAAGTTGCCATAATATTTTTTAAGATACAAGTAAACACCAAAAATATTACAAAATTTTAGGATTGGTGAGTTTTAAAACTAATAACTACAGTTGAACCTGTATCTCAAATCTCACGGAAACGAGAAAAATTTGGAGATAGACAGGTTCAGAGAAATACAGGTTCCTACACAGTAAACAATAATAGGTTTGATGGAGGTAAGGTATGTTGTTAGTACAATTAGTAATAGGTATAAATAAAATATTTTTGACATACGTTAACAAAAGTAATTTCTTAATAGTTTCCAGTGCTCAACTTTCTTCAACGAATAAGATGCAAGCCAAACTCAGTGTATCAGAGAAAAACAGCATTAATTGCAACTATGTATTGTATTGCAAAAGATGTTTTTCAACTACAATTTATGGTATCAAAATTTAATTGTCCAGCTTTAAAATTGTAATCACCATTATAGTCCATAACTTCAGATAAAGGTTTTGGGAGAAAATTATTTGGGATAAATATGGAAAGTTATTGAATTTAGGCGAAAATGCAGGGAAAAAATAAATTTTACGATAAGAATGTTTATTTTGATAACCTCTCATATAAAACACAGAGTTGAACCTGTCTTTTTACGGAATCGTAAGAATTGTTTATTTTATTTCATAAAATGTGAAATTATAGTAGTATTCTGTTAATAAGTTTTTGACTTAGGAAAAACTATTTAGATGAGAAAACTTATGCAGGAATTGTAAAAAAAAAATACTTTTTTCTTTGTATATTAATTTTTTCTGTATTAAAATAATACAATATAGCACAGTGTAACAGTAGAATTATAATATTCACTGACTATAGCAGGTGCTTTAAGTGTGTGATGTTGATATGACATGTCAACGCTTATTGGGCAGTACCAGATCAAAATAATAAGATCCCAGGAAAATTAGCAACCACTTCAAGTGTTTTATATACAATATGACGAATATTTGGATTTACTTTATTAAAAGCTTCCTGTTTTTGTAAGTGATAAATTTATGGTGAGAAAAAATATTACAATCGTCTCCGAAAAATCATCTTAAATGAGTAAAATATTCTCAACAGGACAGATATTTTGGAACTTGTGTGGGAAATTTTACACACATCTTACGGTGTAAATGCTGGAACTGGAGAATTTGGACTTCTTATGTAGAAAAACCTTTTTTGTGGAAACTTCTTAAACAGGTTTTACCATGTTTCGCATAATTACAAAGTATGTAACTAAATGAGTAAGAACAGACAAACCACTAATTTTCCAATTATTTAATACAGGCATTGGCAAACTTACTTTATTATATAACGGACTTTCGGCATTTACGGAAATTCCTTGTCCGAATTAGTCCGTTAAATCAAGGTTTTATTATTTGAATAAATTCTTTTCTTTAACGATAATCTTATCAATCATCATCAGCAGCACAATTATCAGTTCTTATATGTAATTACACATCAAAATTTATATTTTTTAACCAAATCCATGCAGTGTTCTCTTAATTATTTGGGTCGATTCATATAAGTATTGACACAGAAGAAACAACAAATACATTGGGCTTGCTACAAATGCCCTCTCGGGATAGAGTTTATGAAAAAATTCCTCGAAATATTGTTTTAAAGTGAATACATTATTGGAAATTTGTCATACGGAAGAAAACAGAAGAGGAATAATTCTCTATTTCCTGTCCGAAGAAACGGTATTTAAATTAATATTACCATGTATTTCTACTTTATCAATGAAATTCACAATTTCAATTAATTTTGTACATTATTAACACGTAAAATTAAGATACAGTTGAAAGTTTTTTCTTGAAATGGAAATAATTTCTGATAATTTACAGACTTGTGATTGTTTCATTCTCTTGTCGATATATTCAAGCGTTATTTCAATCTACAACGTTTTTCAAAAAAATTTGCTTATTTTACATTAAGAGTCTTTTTCTGCATGTCTTTTACTGTGAAATAAAACATAAATTAATTAAAATTAAAGACACGGTTTCAACAAAAGGAAATAAAATAAAAGACACAGGCCGTAATTTATAATCTGTTTTTTAAAAATTTATTTAATTAAAATATATGCACTCCACCTCAAGTTAGTAGTGTCTTGCTTCTGTACATTATACTTTTTCGTTAGAAATAAAGTCATGCCGGTTATCTAACTAACTCCTTTCAGGGAAAAGAATTTTGAATTAAAATAACGTGACTTCCGGTTTACATCGGAAGTTCTTATACAGTTAATCAGGGTATCCTTTCTTTAAGGATTTCACTTCTGGTCTCGGCTTTCATCTGCCTAATTCCATTCTAATGATTAAAAAAGGACAGTCAGGCATATAATAGTGGAAATTTGTAGGTCTGCAATTTGGAAAATTGTATCATTTAATTGACATACATTAACAAATCATTTAATGGACATACATTATGGATAAATTAATTATCTTTATATCAATTATTTTATCAATAAGCACAATTGTAATAAAGAAATGTCGATCCTAATTGAACGTCAAACTATTTCTGTAACAATTTGAGAGACAACAATATTTGCTTGCGGCTACAATAAACACTTGACATGGCATCCAATTTCCAAGAATTTGCTTGCATCGAATGCAACGACGGTGATGTTATGGTATGGAAACCCCTCCTTGAAAGGAATTCCTCGACTTTAAAAGATGCAATTGTTTATTTTTGTACGATGACTTCAAAATTGAAGGTGGATTGCATGCGAGGCGATTTCATACAGATAATAACGTAAGTGATTAATATAAAATATACAATCCCATTACAGTTTTCTATAATTCGAAATTAATGTATTTATATTAATCCAGAAGCATATAAGCAATAATAAATAGCTTTATTAAAGTTTTACTGAACAATTGGAAAGGTTTAGTGTTAACAATCATTAACAATTGAAGGAAACCAATCGCTCTAATCGAGATCCAGGATCGAGGAGATTTTTTACTGTACACTGTGATTTTCACCGAGACAGATCGCTCGTTAAAACTACATGAGAGTCCAAGATAGCCATCTTTCTCGGTATTTACATTGCCTCGGTCCTCAGCTCATTGTAGGCTTGACAGATCTCACGAAGAGTATAATTAATAAAGACCTACTTATTATCCAAAGCATATAAAGGGTTAAAAATCAATAATAATCTGTGCAGAAATTCTATATGCAACAATTTACAAATAAGGTTTGTTTTATATGAGTAATTCACAGCTATTACTACATTAATCTGTATGTACATTTTTCAGGTATTTAGTGTCGAATGAGCTTCATTTAAGTTCTATAAAAAACGGCTTAAATATATACAGACTCGGAAGCATATTTAAGATAGAAGAAATAAAAGATATTTGTAGAAACTACATTATTCATCATGTAGACATTGAAAACATTTGTTACATTCACGATTTTGCATGCGAACACGAAGATTATTCGATCCAATATCATTGTTGGATACAATTCGATAGACATTGTCAGGAAATTCTGGATTCAGAAGGTTTCCTTTCTTGCAAGCATACGACAATTTCCAGATTCGTTTCTAGACCGATATACACGTCACTCAAAGAAGAAAATCTGTTTCAAGCTGCAGTCAAGTGGGCGAAAAGAAGATATTTAGACGAATTAAACCAGTCAACATCGGTCGAAGAATTACTTAAAATAAAAGTAGAGACTATTCGCAATAATTTGATACCTTATCTGACTAAAATACGCTTACTTACCTTGGATTTAGAAACATTAGAAAATCACATATTTACAGAAAATGTTTTAACAGCTGACGAAATGAATTCGCTTCGTTGTCTTTGTAAAAATATTCACACCTATTGCGCAGTTCCTCCAACCATTTGTAACAGTGATAAACCTCGTAAAGATGTTGTCTATAACTCACTAATTCATTATGAGTATAAATACAATATAGATCATGATGAAAGGATTAAATTAGACGATTCATATAAGTTTCAAGGAAGATTCTACGCGGAAGAAGATTGCTTTCTTCTAGGTTTAAATCTACCGATAACCCACGAAAAACCAATAACTTTTATGGTTGATGTGGTTCCTGAATCGTCGGAGGCAAAAGTAATAAAAAAGAAACTAATGACGTGTGATGAAAACGGGTTGATTAAACTAGAAAATCCAATTTTTGTTGTTAACTATTCATTCGTTACAGTATTTGCGAAGTTTGTACAAGAGAATTCTGATATTTGGATTAACTGTCATTCCTATTTTATCGTAGACACAACACTTCGATGGAAAGATAAAAAAATTAATGAAGATAAATTTAAGATTTTATACATGAATGTTGCTTTGTATTTTTGAACCAAAATTTCAAAATTCATCTACATAAACGTATATATAAATAAATGATTTATGCACAAATATAAATAAATTTTCATCTGGTAACATCAATTATTTTTTAATGTGAAATTATTCTCGTTAAATTTCTAGACTTTTTTCTTTTATTTTCTCTTTGTAAACAGTTTACGTATATATAATATGGCGCTAAAGTCAGTTGACATTTACAAAGGACAATTTTTTGTATTATTAAATTATTTTATTAAATAAAACTTTATAAAAATCATTCGAAACGTAATTATTTTAATTCGAAGCAATAATACAACGCGTAACGCATTAAACCGTACTACAGAATATTTTTAAAATTTTTCTTTTCTTGATGTAGTTAACTGATTTTTGGACCACCCTGTATAACGCATAAATTAAACTTTTCATCAATTTCTGTTTTATTCCATGTAGAAATAAAATTTTCCAGAATAATCTTTGTTTGATGAAATTCTTAAGCGAAACATAAATTTCAATTTGCATATTGTGTGTTTTAATCTTGAAATTTGTTTCCATTAAAATAGTAAGGATTTATTATTAAGTACAAAAGTTTTGTTCTGTGGAAAAATTAATGTAAGTTCTGTAATCTATAGGTACAATACGCTAGTTTGGATCAATTTATTTAATAATTATCAAAACTAAATGTTTCATTTTTAAGCCGTCTGGACCCGAGATAACTCGGACAAATTTAAATAATCGTACGTAACTTTTCGTTACTGGAAATAATTTAAATAAAGCTTATTTACATTCTATTGTATGTTGTTTATGACCTCAGCAAGTTTCGTAAATTTACACCCAATAGAAGTTTATTTTTGGACCATTTTGGACCATCCCTATTTATAGAGATAGTATATCGAATCGAAAAAATCGTGATGTATTTTAGTATTTAAGGTAACTGATGAACATCTATCTAGAAACCCGTTTTTCCCTGAAATTTGTATGAGGATATCCCGCGAACGGCTACCAACAGCTGTTCTGGAGGACATTTAGTTCTGTACACCGAAATGCGGCTCGTGTCACGTGATCCGTTGCAATTTTTGTTATGTGAAAGATAATTCGTTTCTAAATAATACGTAATAAAGGAAATAAAGTTTTATGCTAAAAGTTTTTAGAAATGTATTTCATAAATTGGTGTATTAAACTTTTTAAATTTTTTGTGGTTGTTTTTTTCTGCAAAGCACAAAAAACAAAATGTTAGGTAAATGAGGTTAAGCTTATCTACACTAATATTATAAAGAGGTAATGTTTGTAAGTTTGGATGTAGCGGGTAATCTCCGAAACTACTCATCCGATTTCAAAAATTCTTTCACCAATATTTAGAATGGAACTTCAGCGTGGACATAGGCTGTATATTATTCCGGTAAACATTCATATAAATTAAAAGATATCATCTAGGTTATGTCCAACAGATAACGTTACGAGTACGACGACCTAAGTTTGCTTTTCTGTGAGCTAAATGAACTAAAGCAGATCATCTTCTATCTATCTATATAAATAAAAATGTAATGTTCATTTGTTCCTACCGATTCCTTTGAAATTTTGACACAAACGCTGCATTCGAATACGCACATGTTTTTATATAATATTCGTGTCGAAATTCCCCCACTTGGGGGAGATGGACAGGATTAAGGTTTACCATAATGAACTCTGCTTCTATTTTTACTATTTTCGATGCGGTTTTTTTGCGTTTTTGATTGCGTTTTAATAGGGTACGTCAACAGAATATACACTAAAAAGAGATTTTTCGATATTCCCCCGTCGGGGAGAGGGACAGGATTAAGGCTTGCCGTGAAGAATTTGGCTTCTATTATACTATTTTAGATGCAGTTTTTTACGTTTTTGGTTGCATCTTAATAGGATACGTCAAGAGAATGTACACTAAGAAGGGATTTTTCGAAAAATTTCTTCTCCATGGGGAAAGTGTTATACATTTATAATAGATACATTTTGAGCCACAACAACGCGTGGCTGGGTCTGCTAGTCATATAATATAAGTAATAAGAATAAACTAATAAAAAATTATTAGAGAATAACGAAATACATTCGAGTATTTACAGTAACTAGTTTAGACTGGTAGAAAACCTATTCCCCTCAGGCGTTGTTCCGAACAACCCGCGAAAGTCCACAATCAGCTGTTTTCAAAGTCATCCATCTGTGTATCTGTATTGAAGCCTGTGTCAAGTGTTTCCCTGCCAGTTTTGTGTAATGTAAAAATTAATAAGTTTCTAAATAATACATAATAAAATAAACGAAGTTTTATACTACAGTTTTTTAGAAATTGATTTTATAAAATGATGTATTATGAATTATTCTGATTTTTTTGTGGGAGTTTTTTGTAAACCTTTTTATGTCAGCATATAAAGCTAGAAACTATTATAGAATAAGTATTATTGTAATATAAAACATTTTTTGTATTTGTATAAAAATATACATATAAAAGCTTTTATAATAAAAGTTCTTTCCAACACCTGCTTGCAATTATCAAGTCCTAGAGGAAAAATAACGATTGTGTAGCCTAATTTTTTCTTATCTCTCTATATCGATTGTTCTGTACAGATTATTGAATATTTTGTTGAAGTTAGTAATTTTTAAATTTTGTTTTCATCTAAACACATTTGATCTAATTATATTTATAAAACACAAATTTACAATAATATTTACATGTTTCATTTTCGAAAAAATCTTAAAAGAAAAATAAATCAATATGTTTTATTTGCAGATTTTATAATGTAAATTAATTAATATGTAGTCTTCTGTACTAATCCGAATGCTTTTAATATGCCGTNTGAGCTTGCACAAAGTACTGTCTCACAAATCGATAATACTGTACAAAATATGTGCTCTACTGTTCCAGAAGAAATACTGTTAAATTACAACGATCCCCATTCCTGGCCTACTATCAGGGCCGGATTAACCCACTTTGGGGCCCTAGACATTTTCTTCTTACCGGGCCCCTTTCCCCTCTCACAAGAGATAGAGCACACAAAAAATATAAAATAATAAATAAAACTAAACTAAATAATGTGAAAAACTAAAACAAATCTTAAATTTTTATTAATAAAAAATATTCAATACACAACAATAAATTTTAGTTTTTCTAGAAAAGTTTGAAGTTTGTTTATAAATTTAAAAAATTGAAATTTATTTTATTAAATGTCTAACAAAAGTTGTTATACAATAACAATATTATCTTAAAATATTAATTGTCAACAAGACTATGTCTTGTTTATAAAATCGTATGCCTGCTGTGTTACTAGCTTAGAGGTATGAAGGAGTACATGTTAAGAGTTGCAATTTGGCACAAAGTATTAAGTGCCCAAATCATGCGCGCATAAAAAACCAGACTTGTAGATATTCAAGGGACCGAGAACCGAGTCAAAATAAAATACAAAATCGCGACTCTCTCTACAAACAGGCAAACCGAAGTCAGGTGGTGAGAGTACCACGCACAGTCGTTCTAAGAAGTGAACTCTGACCCCAGGACTGAACACGTAGTATTTTCTTTGTTAAATAAAATTTGTAATCTAATTTTGTAAATTTGGGAGTGCTTCAAATATGACATTAAAACAGGGTTTTATGTCGTTACAAGTAGGTTTTTTAACATTATCTAGTATAGTAAAATCATGGGACCGATAAAAATTTGACGTTATATTAGGGTTGTCGTTACATCCGATGACGTTATAATCGGGTTAAACTGTATATTGTTTGTGCAAAATAAAAAAATAATTTCGGACGATACAATAGCCACGATTATTTTTTTCAAAAACGGGAAATTTTCGTTACGCATCGACAAAAATTCAACCCGAGCCGACGAGTTGCAACGGAGAGAAATTTCGAAATTGGATAGGTTAATTTCACCGAAAATGCATCGTGGACGACCTCGTGGTCGTGGTCGGCGAAGTTTGAACGATCGCGCCCAAAAGCAGCGATATCAAAGATTGGAGAATGAGAACGAGATCCGCTTTGAGCGTGAAAGTGATTCCACTTAGTAGTGTCTCCGAGACATAGTCGTGTCCCAAATACGGTTTTGCCGTTTTACTTGTTTAATTTAATCTTTTTGGTTAATATTTAAATAATATAACATTTTACCAGTTTTACCAGTATTATACAGTTGTCCAACAGAAAAGTAAACTATCTTATTTACAAATCTTTTCAAAATAGAGTTTGACTGGGCCCTTCTAAAACCAGAGCCCTAAACATTTGTCTCATTTGTTTATGCGATGATCCGGCCCTGGATATGACCCCGCCATGTTTGACCTATCCACTCACAAGTTTCGCCAGCATCTCACTGATGACGAGAAAGGCTTAAGTTTAAAATTTGAGTTCTCTAGACCCAGTGGTGTTCTTTGTCTAGTACCATCTGCACCGCCAAATGAATGCGAAAGAGAAAAGTTACGGCTTTTATGGATATCTTTGCACTTTTCAACTGCTTTTATTTTGGCAACTCCTCTGTAGAAAAGCCTGAAATTTTGCACGTTACCTAAGAACACAAGTATCTTTCGAACGAGATATTCACATTTACTACAGACGTTTAAAAGACGGAGAAATCGGCAATTTTGATTTTTGTATCAGTGAATTTTCCACTTGGCGCTGTGTCTGCGATACTGTAGAATGGCCTTTTTGCTACGGAATTGACTAATTCGGCGCTGTAAATGCGCGATAGCAGTTTTGTTTGTGAATTTTCGAACAAATATCTATTATATTCTCCAATTCATCGTACTCTATTTAATTACTTTATCGTCCGTTTCTATATTAAAAATATTCACGTTATTGTAAACCTAAACGATGACAGGGATGGAAATAAATATTGATAAAAGTAGAAACGTTTTAATAAATCTAAAAGTGTGCAACTTTAATATTTATTTTGATAAATATGCAATCTTAAAAATTAAATTTCACATTAAAATTTATTAAATACGAAAGTTTATATACATTTCAGACAATTCGATTTACAAATTTAATTGTTGAAGTAATTTTAATTCTGGTTCGGACGTATACTGACTACAATGACTATCGAGCACCGGTTTAAATACAGTTTGAATGTCTGTACAATATAAGTTGCCTTGTCCATTTATAGATGATTAACAGAATCTTTAAACTGGTAACATAAGCACTTTGCAGATCATCAGACTGTCATTGTTCTATGGACTTTAATGT